CCTTTTTTTTTTCAACAATTGCTTGCTTAAGTTCTTTTTCATCGCTTTATTTTATTTCTTTTATTTTTACAATTATTCTCCTTATTATCGTTTAAAATAATAATATATTAACATAATTTTAGTAATTGGCATATAATTCTCGTGGAAATGATACTCTACTCATTCATTATTACTTATTTGAGATTTCGTACACTTGCGAATTTGCCCTGTCATTATTATTATTATTATTATTATTATTATTATATTCGATACACTTGCGAAATTTGCCCCTGTTCATCTATTTATTTATACCAATTATTATTATTATGGTATATAATAAAGATTATTATTATTATTATTATATAATAAAGGAGAATCATAGAAGCTGACATGACGCTCTCTTTGGAGAGTGAAACTCTCTAAAAATTGAGAATTTCATTTTCACCTCATTAGAAAAATTGAAAATTTTGGAGAGAAAATATGTCTTCCTTGCCTCTTTCTAATTTAATGACTTTTATGAATTTTACTTTAAAATTCATTCTTTTTATGACTTTTGAGTACAATGCCTTCTTTTATGGTTTAACTTTTTTCACTTTCTTATTTTCTTTCCTATACTACTTTAATAGTGATGTTTCACTTTAACTAGAATAAAAAATTTGTATTTCTTCGTGATACATTTAAATTTTAATTGTATATAAATCTGCAGCTATACATTTAAATTTTAATTGCACCCATTTTCTAAGCAATTTACTTGATACTTAATAAGAATAACAACAATAACAACAATGGTATAAATCTGCAGCTATAACAATAAACAATCTAGCTATAAATCTGCAGCTGCACTTGCCATATCAGCAAATGGTATCATTTTGGAAAAATCATAACCTTGAATATTTGCAGAGGAACTATGTATGAAGAATGACACTAATATAGTACTTCGAAAGAAGTTCCACCGATGAAAAAATAAAAGGACTACTTATCGAAAAATACTTGGAACATTATGTGTGGAGAAGGTAAGGTAGAAGAAGATACAAGTAATAGGACAAGCAAATGCAATGAATTCAATAGAGGAAGAAATATATTACTTGAGACTGCTCTTGAGCTATGTTAAAATTACGGATTGTGAGATGATTACAATTATGCCATATAAATTATTATTGGTTGTTAATTACATGGTTTTAGGAAAAAACGATTATAAATACACACGTACATCAATTGAAACATGTTTATTAGATGATATTGTGATATTACACATATTTAGAGTGGATTTTAGATAAATAGTGATTTATAAATTGTTTTGACTATTATTTATTATTAATTTCAATATGAAATCATATTTATAATATGAGAGAAAAAATTATTATCAATACTGAATAGTATACAAAAATAATAATAAATGAATAACAAGTATAAAACGAGTAATGATAATATGCAATGCATGTGAAGGAAAAAACTAGTATATATAAAAGAAAGGATGTAGAGGAGAAACATTAGGGTTGACAAAATACCCTTGCTAAATTTTTGAATTGAAAAAAATATCTTTAAGGTTTTTAATTCCATTGATTGAAAAAATAAGGTGATTTAATTTGATTGATTAAATTGGTTTTCTATTTAAATCTAAATTTTATTGTCTAATAAACAAAATAAAAATTATTATTACAAAATACCATAATTATAAAATTTATTTTAGGAAGTTAGATTACAAAATACCATAATTATAAAATTTATTTTAGGAAGTTAGTTGTATGTTACACTTTACCCCCTTATGGGACAACGTCCTAGTTGAGGTTTGTCCCACCACCAATTAGAGGAGCAAGAATCGACACTGATACTAGATGCGGTGCTAGCTTGAGATGTTAGCTTACCGTTAGGCAAATTCCACATTGGATAAGTGCGCGAGAGAAGAGGTGGATATGTAAGTGCTAATATACTTTAGACTTGTAAGAGATTTTTTGAGGGCGATGGATTATCACTCTTAGAAATAAAATCAATATTAAGGCTTACCAATTTAATTAGAAACTTTTTTTTTAATTATAGGGGCAACTCTCCTCTTGGCTCACTAAATTGATGAAAACAACTGTGGTCGAAAGAACTCGAACTCGAGACCTTCCACTCTTCACATAACTTAATTAGAAACTTGAGACCTTGCACTCCTCATATAACTTAATTAGAAACTTTAAAGATTAATATTTTATAATTGACAGTAAAAAGAATCCATATTTAAAATGAATTATAAACTAAAAATTTTTAAAAAATGATATTTCAATATCAAAATTTATTAGAAAAGACAAATATTAATAAGAATTAATATTAATAAGAATTTAATATTTTTAAAATTTAAATTTATATTAAAGAAATATCAAAAACACGGGTATTGAAGTAAAATGTTTGTTAATATTAAGAAATATCAAAACACGGGTATGAACAACAAGTAAATGTTGTTAAAACCCAGTTCTCATAGAACCATATAACTTGGGAAAGGGAGTAACCATTGTTGTTATAATATTAATTTATCATAATTATTGTTATTTAAAAAAGGAGTCTAATATCATAATAATGGCTAACATTTACAGAATATTTAATTATATAAATTAAATTTGAATATTGCCATTTTCAAAATCATTTATGTAGAGATCCAAGTATAAATATTAAAAAATAATTTTAATGAAAAATGAAATATTAAAACTGCAAAAACTATAAAAAAAGACTAATTTTTTCTATTAAATTTGTATATGGCTACTATATCTAATAGTTATTTTACCAATGAAGTTAATTTAAAGACATATCGCATTTAACTATGTAGCTGGTCAAGACCCATAATATCTTCAGATATTTATGTTATGGTATGTCAGACTTGACACCTAATTGACTAAAAATAAAAATTCCAAATTTAAACAAGCTACAAATAAAAATTTAAAGGTGTAATTAACTTAAATCTATATCTATCTATACTATTTATAAAAGTGAGAATAGGAAGATAATGAGATTTTCGATGGCGCTTTTAATAAATTTTAGGATATTCTAAAATAACCTTAGTCATAGCGAATTAGAAAATTACATTTTATTAGAATACATTTATAAAAATTATTTTTTAAATGAATCATGTGTGGTCTAATAGTCTTTTCAACTTAGGATATCATATTGCATTACAATCTTCTTAGATAATTGAGGGGTGAGGATTGGAGATTGAAGAGACATGGAGAGGGAGGGCAGTGAAGAGATATGCAAGATTGGGAATAAAGAGGGAACCTGACCACCTCTTTAGAATATGTGGGCAATGGGAACTGAGACTTGTTTGGAACTGAGACTTGTTTTTGTCCTTTTGCTCTTACATTCTCATTGTCTTGAGGCAAGAGTTTAAATAAATTAAAATAAAATTCATCCTGGTGTAAGGGTTGTTGAAGATTCAAAACCCACTTTGTCTTTTTGTGTTAGCTTAAACATTTTGGTCGACTGATTATTCAATATTCAACTCTCATTGAGCTAATGATTTCCAGCTACATTGCTCATATTTTTCTTGCGTAATTGTTTTTTTCTTTCATATTTCAACAATTTTTTTTTTTTCTAATTGTTTAGCTGTTCCTTATATTTTGCCATGTGGCTTTATTAGGTTACCTCTTATTTTATAATTGATAACTGTGCCTACAAGGCAATAACCTTTTATGTGCCTGTTAAAACTGTTTCCATAACAATTTAACAATAATGCATAGCAATTTAAATTGGATGAGCCTGTATTTGTCCATTGTTCAATCAAAATTAATGATAAGATGAACAAAGATATGTCAGCAATTTGAGCCTATTTGAATTGGAAATTATGTCACCAAAGCTTTACAATTCAAATTTATAGGCGTCCTAGCAGCTATTCTTAAAGAAAATTAAAAAGAAATGTAGTAATTTTTTTCATTAAAATTTTTTATTATCAGTTATTTATTTTTAATTTACGTAAATGTATGAATGTGGGGAAATATATGGATTGTGCAAAACGGACATTAATATTGTTTATATTTACAAGAAAAGCCAGTAGTGAATCTTAATTAAATTTATTTACAGCCCCATAAATGAACTTGATCCATAATTTTAACCATATATGTGTTTCCTAATTAACGTAAACTGCTTCCTAATTAATATATTTTTCCTAATTAATATATTTTTAGTTGCTTTCTGTTTTAATTTCATTGAGTTGTTAATAAATATTGGTTAGTAATACATATGTTCAATATTATTTATAAACATAAAAGTAAAGTATATTTGGAAGAAAAAATTATTAGTAAACTTATTTTATTTTATTTTTCTTGACTTATTGCTTTAATACATGTTCTATTTATTATCTATCCTTAGATGGATATGTACGTCATTTAGTATTAGTTATATATTTTTAGTTGGAACATGTTTGCAATGTGTTTCGTTGCTTGGAATCCCATTGGGACTTCGTGTTTCACCATATTTTATCCTTTTTGCCACTTAGGTTTTTGTCACACAAATGAATCGGTGTAGATTATAAATTCAGACTCAATTCATGTGCTTTCATTGTGGGAAAGATGCGAGAAATTTGAAGCTTCGTTAAAGGAAAGTCGCACAAATTTACTAAAAGAGTACTACTCCACTTTTAATGCCAGGTTAAATGATTTTGCAAAGTAATCCTCTTCTGGAAGACTGTTTGATGTTTGAATTTTTATTCCTTTTTTCAAAGATCATTTTTTTCTTTTGTTCATTAGTCTTCCCATTTTAATTTTTTAATTAAACTATAAATCGTTCTGTTCCACTTCTGTCAATCAAAAGGAACTGTTATGTGGAGCATTGATTGGGGAAGAAAAAATTAAAATCATTATACTTCATTTTCAAGGCAATGCTTACCTAATCCACAATTTATTTTCTTGTTTTGCACCCTCTCTTCTTCTCTCTGACCATTAAGCACGCACTTAGTTTTATGTTTAAACTTTTTAAGTTAAGTGAAAAAAATGGTTATACTTTAAGTGAAAAATGGTTATACTTATACCTGTTGCACTTTCCTTGTATCTTAGCTATGTGGGGTTAGAGGAGGTGGGAACGCTGCAGCGCAGGCCTTGTATTGGCAAGCGAGTAAAGGACTTTCTTTTGTATTAGCATTTGAATCAGAGAGGGATAGAAACGCAGCCATTATGCTTGCAAGGAGGTTTGCCTTTGATTGCAATGTAAGTATTTCTAAAATTTATCAACTTCTACTTGTACACAATTTTTTGTTTATTGAACAGTATTTCTTTTCTTTCTGTTAGCCGCCATTGTTGAAAACAAAAGAAAAAAAAATATAAAAAATGTTTTTGCTCAATCCCACATCGGTGAGATTGAGTTTTGAGGGTAGTAGGTTTGGTTATAAAAGAAAGCTAATGTTTAGGTTTGGTTATTAAAAGAAGGCTAATGTTTTTACTTTCTAAACACACCAAAAACACTTGAATGTGTTATATTAGGGGGAGTTCTTTTTTTGGAATCCCTTTGCGAGTATTAAAAATATTTGGGGGTGTTTTTGAGGGTGTCGGGTTCAGAAAAAAAAATAATTTTGTAAATTTGTGGTTTTGTTACAAATTTGCCCACATAAAGTTGAAATATTTTCTTTGGGCATTGTCGTTTTGGGGCAAACGGGCCGGTGCGGGTTTTTTTCTTTCCACCTTGGGGGGGAGGTTTCCACGGTTAAAAACAAAACTATCGTGTTCTCTGTGTTCTCTTTAATTTCTCAGTCATTATTTTATTTTCTCATTTGTTCCTGCTTGAAGCCGATCCGAAGGGCGGGAAAATAGCGAATTTTCCCAACACTTTCCACCTTTTTTTTTTCTTTCTGTTCCTTCCGTATTATAATATCAAATTCTTGAAATGCCAGATCATGCTTGCCGGGCCTGATGACCGGAATCCGTTAGGAAGTTAACCAACTCCACATATGGTATTCCAATTCAGCAACTGTAATTATCACATTGAGTTTCCCCCTGTATTATAGGTTTGAAACAGTAGGAGGTTGCATTGTATGTTCTGTTATGGGCTTCCATCATTCTTTCTTTCTTTTGTTTTTGTTTTCGTTTCTCTTATTTTCTTCTCCTGCCCTAACATCAAGGCATCCTTTTTCTTTGCCTTTTTGTCTTTTTGTCCAAGTATAACATAATCCCAATTACATCAGGTGTTGTATGATTTATGTACAATGATTAATACATGATTGATTAATACATGATTGGTGTTTTGCTATAAGAGAGTTTTACCGTCTTTTCTTGGCTGGTTGATATTGTGACTTCCTGTTTTACAGTTCATATTGAATCTGAGCATCCTCTTTGCTTCAATGTTGTTGCTAGTTAAAAGAATGAACATAGCCGTAATAGAAATCGATTTTCGGACCGATGGGTATCTATTCTTATAGTATTGTTAGGGAAGTCGATAAGCTAATTCCTATAGATATATTTGCGGTAGTCTCAAGTCAGACGAGCTCCAAATTAGTTTTTTTCATCAATATCAGCTTGATTGCCACAGGAAAAGTATCAAGTCAGGCGAGCTCCAAATTAGTTGCTTTTCTAGTTTGAGCTACTAAACTACTACACTATTGGACTTGAATTAGTCAGACTTAGGGATGGAAGGGCTACCGTGCCGCTCTGATCCGTTCAAAGAGGATATGGGTAGTTATAAGTAGATTTAAGATGGATACGGATAATAAAATTATTACCCGTAACGGATGCGGGTAGAGTATGGATATAGATCTTTAGATACCCGTTACTTGTTGCCTGCTATATTAAACGGGTTTGATAACGGGTACCCAAAATTGTCCTACCTCAATTATAAGTAAAAATTATATTTTCAATGAGTACGAATTTGGATAATGTAAGATTCGCGGATACCTTATCTGTATAAGGGTATTTTAATTGAATGGGTATGGATAGTAAAAATTTAAATGAGTTCAGATATGGGTATTTAATTAGATATTTAATGGATTTGAAATGGATATAGATAATAAAATTTTAAATTAATACAGGTAGTTTAAAATTTGTAGGGGTGTGCGTCCGCTCTATCCCTACTCAGACTAATCTCATGCATTAAGAGATTTTAAACAACCTACTTATAAGCTACTAGAGGAGCAAGCAACGGTTTTCTTGAGAACTCCAAGAGATCAGTAATAGTATTACACGCAGTTGATCATTTTTTTTATCATCGATAGGATTTTCACCATCAGCATTTATAAGCAGTTATATAAGTATTACTTGACTGGCTTAAAAAACCATAACCAGTAGTACTTTTCAATTAGCACAGAATTCGTTTAACCACAGCCCAATGAACCGTTCTAGGATTATGCAGGAACTGATTGAGCTTGTCAACTGCAAAAGCTATGGACGTGGCAAATGATGGTTGATACTGTCATTGGTCAACTGCTATGTTGAGTGGAATTCCCCACCGCAAGTACTGTTACTATTCAAAATTCTCCTAATAGTGGGTAGAGAATCATATCCAAGGTGTGCAAGCCACTCTTGATGGCCTCAGTTATATTCTTTATACTCTTTTTTATTCCTTTTTTTATTGATAGACAGACGGATTTAGAATATTTGGTTCGGTAATGCATACGAATAATAATTTAATGAGAAAAAAAGGTAAAAGTTTAATGGAGAAAACTCAAATTATTGTTATATACACTGAAATTTAAAAAACCAGTAGGGCAGTTGGCCCAACTCCTATTATAGATTCTTCCATCTGGACAAAAAGTGATATCATAATTAGCTCCACTGGTGCAAGAAAACGTGCTTGTTAAATAATCAGTAGCGTAGCTATAAGCTTGAGGACACCGATCCTTGAAAAACATTGAATAATTTGTGGGTTTGGTTTGCAAGTATCTGGCGTATTAAAGCTTTCTGTACAACAATATTCTGGCTGATTAAATGCTTGACATGCATTTTTGCAGCCAATCACAGAATTTCCATCTTGCCCTTTAACAGCTAAGTCATTAGGGCAATCGGAGTTCACATCTCTTGCACAACTAGCAGTAATGCAAGTATTGCCGGAACCGCCACGTGGAGAGATTGACACTGGCACGTTAAAACCATCGACAAGACTAATATCGTAGTAATCGTAGTAACCTTGACGGCCTTCTTCTGCCAAAGTGATTTCTACAAGAGTAACCGGCAGGATGATTCCTCCGGCATCGTGACACGAAATTTGTCCGGAGCCACAATCTCCAGTTGCACATATGAACTTTCCGGTTGAATTGGTGGAACATCCTGTCCGGCCCCAAAGCCGTCCATTGAACCGAGCCGGAACATTTACGGATTGGGTTGCTTTTGTCGGTAACTCAAAGCCAGTCGTTGAGAGTTGAGGCCCATTGCCGAGGGTACGAACTGCTGCCCAGACTTTGTATGCACAATTGTTGGAGATAGTTATTATTGCTGAGTGAACTCCTACATTTGCATATGATTATATGATTAGATATTATTAATTTAAACTAAGGATCATATAAGCATGAAGAAGAAGAAAAGGACAGTACATATTAAAAAAAAAGAAGGGGGGGGGGGGGGGGAGCCGGGGGGGGGGTTGCCTTATATAAACACCAGATGACTAAATAATTAAATATAAAGTACCATAAAAGAGGAAAGTGAAGTAAAAGAGCAAGAGGATGGCTAGAGTTTTCATGATTGAATTTCTTTCATTGATTTTGGAGTAGTTAGGAAGAAGACGATGTATTGGTTTATATAGCCTTCAAAAATTGGAAAATTCAATGACTTATGGTTTGGGGTAGACTAAATAAGTTTTATTCCTTTCAGATTACCTGTCGTGTTCCCATGTTATTTTCTTCGATGAAAGACAAAAATAAATGGAGAAGAACTTTTGGAATGTACCAAAAGTTAAAAGATACACTTGAATAAAAAATGAGATGCAATTAATAAGATATAAGAGACTTTTATAAAGGGAGGACATGCATGCATTGGAAATTTTTAATGGGGTAAGACTTGAGTATGGTTATGAAATCTTTAAAATGTAATATTTTCAAAATTATTATTTATTATTTTTTCAGTTTGCATTTGTGCTTTGACATTTTAGTCCGAGTAGTATTGATAGCGGCAACTTGAAATTTTGAACCTTAATTTTGTCGGTAAAGTTTACTTCGGTATTGCTTGTTGGTATTATCAAAATTAATATTAAAGGCGGAGTGTGTATTAAAAAAATTGAAATTCTTTTTTTGAAATTGGAAATGACTTAAATATTATTAGAATCAGAAATCAATACATCATAAATTAAAGAAGGTGACTTTATAGTCCATCGGACATGGAACCTGAAATTACGAATTGAAATTTAATAATTATAAGAGGTAATTAATATTTAGCAGAGATGTTAAAATCATATAATATTTAATTACCAAAAACATGCTAAGATATTAAGATTTAATGATGTCCCAAATAGGGATGAACACGATTCGATATCAAATCAGAACTGAACTAAAATCGAAACCGGTCAAACCGGTACTAAATTGTAGTCAACAGTTCTGGTTGTAAAATCATAATCAAACCATGAACTTAAAGTTCAGTTTTGATTCTTCATTTTTTGAAACTGAAATCGGCGGTTTCGATTTGAAACCGTGAAAAATATATTTTTAAAAAAATCTCAACTTTTTTTTTGTTTTATTATAGTTTTTTTAAAGTAATTTTTAAGAAATTTATTAAATTGATTTAGTTTTTTTCAATAGTAATATTTATTATTAATAGTAATATTTATATTATTATTTTTTATTATTATTATTATTATTTATTCAACCTAAAAATCTTTAAAAAAATTTTAAAAATTTAAAATATATTATTTAATTTCGATTTAAAATAAAAAAAAGTCAAAATCAGCAATTTCAAAACCGTCTTAAAAATCATCTAAAAGTAGTTCAATTCCGGTTTCACCTTGTCTACAATTGGAATTGACAGTTTTAAAATTGAAACGGACGGTTTTGGAATTGTGGTCATGTCTAGTGCCAAAGATCTAACAATTTAAATTTAATTACAAGAGAGCCGACATTTTTTATTGAAATTTTAGGATGCAAAATGATGTTGCCTCCGTATATTAATGAATTTTGATTGTTTAATGATAATAGAATCATATTAAAATTACGATGTTATAAATTTAAACCCCAATCAATTAAAAAAAATTAAAGAATTTAATTTTAACTAATGCGTTGACTTTAATCCTAATTAATCTTAGAAAGTGTGTTATTCAATACACATGATAAAAAATAATATAAAAAAAGACACCAAAATAAAATATTTTAGAAGAAAGAGATGATGGAAATTGCGCGCATGCTGTGAAAGATGGAAAAAATTTGCCTAAATTGGGTTTAATTTAGGGGTGTCAAAACGGGTTGGAGTGTCGGGTTCGACACGAATTTGCCTAATACGTGACACAATTACGGTCAACATGAACATGATCCGTTTAATAATCGTGTCAAATTTCTCAACACGAACACGACAAGAGAATTAAGCAGGTGACATAAATACGACACGTGCAACCCGCCTAATATCATAAGCAAGTTAAGTGAGTCATGACCCAAGTAACCTGCCTAATATCCTAAACAGGTTAAGTGGATTGTATTGACCTATATATGACCCACTTAACCTGTTTATTATATTTTTAAGTTTTAACCTATTTAACTCAAATCATATCTAAAAATAAATTTTATACATAAAATGTATAGATTCTCCAAGATTCATAACTAAAATAAGATTCTCCAAGATTCATAACTAAAATAACAATAAATTTTAAATAGGATTTTAGTTGGGTATTTATATTTGACACTAAAATTATCTCTTTATCCTAAAGTAAACGAGTAACTCGCCTAACCCGCATGTCAACCAGTGACGCGACACGTTTATATTCGTGTCATAAACGGGTGATCCACCCATTTAACCTCAATTCTAACTTGTTTATTTCACATGTTAGACGAATCGTGTTCGCGATTCATGACCCATTTTGACACCTCTAGGGTCTATAGTTCCATTTATGGATCAAACAAATGAAATTAAAAAATTTTTTTAAAAGTGTTCTGACTTTACCTTTATTTTTCAATTGTATGGTCAAAAATACTTTTATTTTAATAAAAATCCTTAATTTCATTGGTTTGGTGCATAAATGAGGCCATATAGTCGGTCTAAGTAAGGTTTTTCCATAAAAGACAAGCCAAAATGTTTTAATTGGAGGATTAACTAATTAAGTAATGGGTGGTTAAATTTACTTAAATTTGATTAATTATGGTTCATTCAATTAAGGAATTATTTGCTTGGATCCGATCAATGAGCCTACCCATAAATTAAATTAATAAAAAAAAATTTTATTGAAACGATGGTATTTCTGACCATTGAAAGAAACGAAGCATAAAGTGGAAATAATATTTAGAAATGGACAAATTATAAATTCACTCCTTAACTTTACAATTTTTAACTTTGTAGCACCCTGAATTTTGTGAATGACCTATTGTCCACTTGAACTTACAAATTTTGATAACATTACATATCTTTCCATATTAATAGTAATAGTTTTTAGGATTTTTTACTATTACATACAAAATATTGATTCGATATGTAGTTAGCATTATTTTTGGAATAATAATTTTCATATTTTTTTAACTATGTAATAAATATTTAATTGATCTAATTTTGCAATTTGAAGTGTTTAATAAAATAATTTTGAAAGTTAAAGTGTTTAATAAGTGTAATTTTATAAGTTAAAGTGTTTAATATATCAAAATAAAAATTGAGGATGTCGCAATGTTAAATTCATAAAGTTCAAAAGTGAATTTATATATTCAACTATTTAAAAATCTCTATTTCATTAGTTTAGTTCACGAAGATAAGTATAGGCTCAATTTTTACAAATCAATCCTTCAATTAATACCCATCAACCCGTAATAGAAGCCACACAAACATAAATCAAGAGACTCAACAACTACAAACCCATTTACAATCTCGGAGAGTGAAAATATTATCTCCAAGGAAAAGATGTGCAAGATATGGAAATTTCTGCCTTTTTCTGAATGCAAATTTCCAAAGCAGAATCAAAGTTGTAGGACCAAATTAGGGACAGCTGATTGTACTTTCATCCCTGAAATTTCCAACTTCATTCATAAACGGCATATACAAACTTTTTTTTTTTTTTTTTTTACCAAACCGTAACTAATACGTAGGTAGTATCACAATCTTAGCATCTTTGGAAACCATCAATTTTAATTTTAAAGAAGGGTGAAACCATAATCAAACTCTTCTTAGACAGCTTTTAAAATAATTTTAGAATCTTCGATTTCAATTGAGTTTTAGTTTAAGATCAGATTTAGACAATTAAGTAGTGAAGGGTTATATTTACTTAAAATTTACTGATTATGGGTCATTCAATCAATCACCCTTTTTTCAAAATAATAATAATAATAATAATAATTCAAAAAATCACTCTAATCTTTTTTTTTTTTTTTATAAACGGCCACTGGTGAGCTCCTTTTTCCTTTAGCTAGGTTTTAATTTTTCTTTTATTTTTTTATTTTTTTTCAAATAATTCTTAAATTTGTATTTTTTTATATAGATTTAAATTATTATTGCCCTCTTGGAATTCGTCTTATACATATTTTGGGATTAGTGTTCCCTATATCTTGGAATTCATTGTCATATAGTAATTTTATTTATAGTATTTTATTATTTGTATTTTATTATTTGGGCAGTTATGTAGAAAAAGTTATAGATATTCTCTCTCATAAAATGAAGAAATCAGAAAGTAATCAAGTCGGACTTGAGGAAAGCCTATAGAGAGTGGTCATAAATACCTATCAAGTGAAACAAGCGGCCGCCTATGACATATGTATTATATTCTATCAATTTGATCAGATACTTCAAACCAAGATTGCATTTTTTTTATAAATTATTTATTATTAGACTTCCTATACAAAAACAGAAAAACTCATCCATCAATATTCTCTATATGTATATTGTTCACCCTTAATGAAATTCTTCTAAAAAAAAAAAAGTCAATTACCCTTTAACCCATGACAGAAGGCAGAAGCCACACAAACACAAGTCAATAGACTCAACACCACCACAAACCCATTTACAACAAACCCATTTACAAATTTTCTCACGGGAATTTAAAATTCTTGTCTGCAGAAGGAGAAACTGCAAAGGAGAAATGGTCAAGATATGGAAATTTCTGGGTGTTTTCGAATGCATATTTCCAATCACAATAACAATTGTAGGACCAAATTAGGCACAGCTGATTGGTGAATGTCACCCATTAATTCTGGTTTCCAACCTTAATTGGACTTCCATAAAACAGATAGACAGGGCATTTGGGTCTCTAGCATTCTTTTTTAGTGGCTTCAAAAATCAAATCGTAACTACTAATCATTTTTATTTTTAAAGAAGGGAAAAAATAAATTGGTCTCTTACTTTTTCTGACTTTAAATTGGTCTCTTACTTATTATTAAATTAATACATGAGGATATTTATTTTCAAAAACTAATTATAAAGTTGCCATCCAAAATAGCTTCTTTTATTTATCAATTGATTAAGAAATTGGCCTCTAAAGTATAGTCAAACTAACTATTAGATTTCTAATTTATAATCTATATTAACACTTTAATCTAATTTATAATCTATATTAACACTTTAATCATCTGCATATGATTTCCATTAACACTTTGATTCTCTGTCGTCTATTTTGAACTATAGAACCAAAATGTTAATAAATCATAATTGAAGGATTTCATAGTTAGATTTT